AATCAAACTATCGTCACCATATACAGTGGACCCCCGGTTAACGATATTTTTTCATTCCAGAAGTATGTTCAGGTGCCAGTACTGACCGAATATGTTCCCATAAGGAATATTGTGAAGTAGATTAGTCCATTTCAGACCCCCAAACATACACGTACAAACGCGCTTACATAAATACACTTACATAATTGGTCGCATTGGGAGGTGATCGTTAAGCGGGGTTCCACTGCACTTGCTTGCTACTCCTATCTGTTGAACTTTTCCCTCACAGAGAGATAGTTTAGGAATGGTTAGTGTTTTTATTTAACAAATGAATGGAAGAGGGGAAGGTATCTAGTGATTGGCAGAGAGTATGTATAGTTCTTTTGTATAAAGGCAAAGGGAACAAAAGAGAGTGTAAAAATTATAGGGGAAATAAGCCTATTGAGTATACCTGGTAAAGTGTAAGACAGAGAGCAGGATTGCAGATGAACAAGGAAGCTTTAGGAAGGGTAGAGGATGTGTAGACCAAGTATTAACAGTGAAGCAAATAGGTGAATAGTATTTAGATAAGGGTAAGGAGGTTTTCGTTGGATTTATGGATTTGGAAAAGGCATTTGATAGGGTGGACAGGGGAGCAATATGGTAGATGTTACAAATGTATGGAATAAGTGGTAGGTTAAGTAAGTTTATTCAAGTACAGGCACACATAAATACAGTTACATAAATTATCATATATAACAGCATATGTGTAGATTAGGATAACGCCAAAAAAAGTGACTTATTTCCATTAAGATCCTTGGAAAGCAGTTAAGAACTTTTATGAGGATAGTGAGGATCAGGTTAGAGTATGTAGGAGAGAGGGAGATTATTTCCCAATAAAAGTAGGCCTCAGACAGGGATGAATGATGTCACCATGGTTGTTCAATATACGTATTTATAGATGGGATTGTATGAGAAGTGAATGCTCAGGTGTTGGCAAAAGGTGTGGGATTAAAAGAGAGAGAATCTACCATAAAGAGGGAGTTGTCACTGTTGCCTTTTGCTGATGACACTGTGCTCTTGGGAGATTCTGAAGAGAAGTTGTAGAGGTTGGTGAGCGAGTTCAGAAGGGTATATAAAAGATGGAAATTAAAAGGGAACATAGGAAAGAGCAAGGTGAGGAGGATAATAAAAAATTTAGATAGTGAAAGACTGGATATCAGATTGGAGGGAGGGAGTATGGAGGAAGTGAACGTATTCAGGTATTTGAGAGTGGACTTGTCAGCAGATAGGTCCATGAAAGATGAGGTGAATCATAAAATTGATGAGGGGGAAAAAGGTGAGTGGAGCACTGAGGAGTCTGTGTAGACAAAGAATGTTATCCATGGAAGCAAAGAGGGGAATGTATGAGAGTATAGTGGTACCAACACTCTTATATGGGTGTGAAGCATGGGTGATAAATGTTGCAACAAGAATTAGGCTGGAGCCAGCTCCACTGTCGTGTCTTAGGGCAATGTGTGGTATGAATATAATGCACAGAATATGTAACTTGGAGATAAGGAGGTGTGGGGTTTCTAAATGTATTATCCAGAGGGCAGAGGAGGGGCTGTTGAGGTGGTTTGGACATTTAGAGAGATGAAACAAAATAGAATGACTTGGAGGGCATATAAATCTGTAGTAGAAGGAGGGTGGGGTAGGGGTCAGCCTAGGAAAGGTTAGAGGGAAGGGGTAAAGGTTGTGTGAGACTTCCAGCATGTATGCATGAGTGTGTTAGACAGGAGTGGATGGAGATGAATGGTTTTTATGACTTGACATGCTGTTGGAGTGTGAACAAAGTAACATTTATGAAGGGATTCAGGGAAACTGGTTAGTAGGACTTGAGTCCTGGAGGTGGGAAGTATAGTGCTTATGCTCTGAAGGAGGGGTGTTGATATGTTGCAGTTTTTTAACTGTAGTGTAAGTATGCCTCTGGCAAGACAGTGATGGAGTGATTGATAATGAAAGCATTTCTTCTTTTTCGGGTCACCCTGCCTTGGTGGGAAACGGCCAGTGTGTTAAAAAAATAATAAAAAAATATGGAAATACATAAAAATATACTGCATTATGATAATATATATTAAAAATATACTGCATTATGATAATATATATTAAAAGAAACAGATGCATGTATACTCATATAACAAAATCCATGGGACTGGAATGCATTAAAGTGGCTATCTCAGGAATTAAAGGCATGGCCTAGAGGGGGCACTATTTCCAAAGAAACAAAGGCAAATACAATTCACTGAGTACACCCACCCACACACACACACACACACACATAACTAAAGTAAGGTGACATAATAAATGGAAATTGATCATTCTAATGACTGAAACAAATAAAGGAAGAAATTTCTTAAGTGTAACAAAGGGTGGAATACACTAAGGAAGCAGGTATAATGCCAGCAACTACATACATGGATTCTACAGCAAAAGTGATGAAACATTCAGGGTTATTGTACCAGTTGATAACTGAATAAAAGGGAGTATCTGATACAAGTACAACATTATATTCATGGAGGGGGGGGGGATAGTAGGGCTAAAACTATAGGACCAACTGGACCTGTGCTCCAGTTCAGGGAATTGGAGCACCAGTCCACTTTCTTAGATCAAAAACCTCTCACCAGCATCAAGAAATTTTCCCTGTTGGGTTGACACAAGTAAGCAAAATATTTTATGAGCTAAGACTGAAAGAAATATGTCCTATTAGATGACAGGAGGAAGTGAGATTATGATAATCACAAAGAATTATAAGGGATAAGAAGGAATAGATAAAAAAGACTTGTTAACACCATCAACAGGTATAACAAGAGGCCATAATTGGAAACTCAGAAAGAGAGGCTGAAAACATACCAGAAAATTCTTCACAAACAGGGGTAGAACAAAGGAATCAGTTACAAGTTAGTAGAAATTAAATAAAAATGCAAGATCAAAACTGAAAATGGGACTTCAAGAGCATAACTCTGCTCCTGTAACTACAAAGAGGTACTAATAACAACCAAATCATGGTTAGAAAGAAACAGATAGTATTATAAACCAGGATTTTAAAACACAAATTAGCCTGAACACCCCATTTGCACAAGAGCTGATTTTGGCTCATCAATTTTTGCTGTGGAGGTAAAGGTTTTAAACATAATGCAGGATTTTTTATACAGATGGGCCCCACTTTACAGCACTCCACTTTATGGCATTACGCTAATACAGCAGTTTTCAATTACAGTGGATCCCCGGTTATCATAATTAATCCGCTCCTGAGAGAATGACCAAACCTGAATCTGATGATTTCCAAATTAATTTTCCCCATAAGAAATAATGGAAATCCAATTAATCTGTTCCAGACACCCAAAAGTGTTAAAAAAATATTTTTTTTGCGTGAAATATACATTTATCTACACAGAAAACAATGAGACATGCAGAATAAAACAATAATAAAATGACACTTACCTTTATTGAAGACTTGTTGATGTACGGAAGACGGGAGAAGGGGAGAGGATGGAGGAGTTACTATTGTTTGGAAGGGGAGTCCCCTTCTATAAAGACTTCAGGTACCAAGTCCTTTTCTGGGGTTACTTCCTTTTGTTTTTTTAATGCCACTAGGCATATGTTAGGAATTGTGGCTGTGGCAGGAGAGTGTTGGGAAACAGGAGAAGATAGTCCTTCAATATGGCACTAATATCAACTCTACGACTTATTTATCTAGCACAATTCATCTAATATGACATAATAAACAATATTAATAACAGAAACATGATATATACTCTAGAATGAATAAAATATGTCATAAGTCTCTCTCTCTAACTGATGAGTGTTGTTTTGTTGTTGGGTGTATAAGGGCCACTGAAAGATAAGCCTTACAGAGTGGTGGTGATGGCGGCAGCAGAGACAGTGGTGTTGTCAGTCACCCTATATAATTCCAACAACATTGGAGGAGTCAGTTTCGTGCTGTCCTTTTTCTATCTATTAATCACTTAACTTGCTACACTGTTAATGCTACACTTTATCGCTGGCTGGCACTATAGCCTTTATCAACTCCTGCTGCTTTAGTATCGTACATATCACAGAATCACTGAAGAAGGCACATTCTCCCCTCTCTCTCAGCTCTTTACCAAAGGGCTGGCTAGCACTAGGCACTTCCTTGGGGCCCATGGTGGCTTATTTAGCAGTTGCAAACATTAAAAAGAATGGAATAATATGAAATGTATCGTATGAATGAGTAGGATTGTGCTCACTGGCTGATAAACAATGGCACACTGAGTGTCGGGCCGCTGTTGCCGTTTGGGAAGAATGACTATTACCAAGCTCAATGACGATCACCAAGCCAATATTTAAACGAAAAAACATTACTATTTCTGAATATTACGAAATCTGATGACTATGAAATCCGGGGGTCCACTGTATACCCATTCTTCATTTATTCAGACTTCCTACAATAAATGTATTCACCATTCACTATAAGCTAGGGATGAAAATATTTTAAAGTAATGTGTGTACTGTATATGCATTTTTTAGGCCTGACTCTATTGCTCACTTAATATATGATAGTGTAAATGTGTTATCAGGCTTTTTATACATATGAAAGTGAAAAATGCTTTGTTTTACTTTACAGCAATTTTTGCTTCACAGAACCTAACCTGCTGTATAAGTGGGATCCTCCTGTACTGTGTACCTTCACCACACAAACCCATTCTCTCATATTTAGGCCAAAATTTGCTGCTCAAAGTTTATCTGATTAAGCTGAGCTCATAACACAGAACTATGTAAGGGACCTCAGCATCACTAACATAGTTCTACATGATGGCCACTGAAAGAGTTAAATGTTTACACTAGAGAAATTCTCCTGTGAATTGCTCATCATAACAGATGCAGCATCAATATAGGATTCATCTCTTACTACTAGTCTATCATCTTATTTTCCTTTATCATTTCTTTTCAACAGCTGAAACAAGTAATATCAAGAACAAAATAAAATCTGGAAAAATGCAATGCAAAGTGCTTTTACTTACATCCTCTAGATTATTTCCTTCACAGCTTAGAATTACTTCTTCATAAATTACAGGTGGGATTGTTGTTGTTGTTGTTGTTGTTGTTGTTGTTGTGGTTGTTGTTGTTGGTGGTGGTGGTGGTGATGATGATGTCGTTGAAGGTGTTGTTGTTGTCGTTGATGTTGTCGTTGATGATGTTGCTGTTATTGTTGAGGTTGCTTCTGTTGTTGTTGATGTTACTACTGGTTCCAGGATGGGTATTTCTTCAATTTCATCAATGTATTCCCACTCTCCTTTCACAATTTCTGTAGATATTTCAACCTCTGCCATTTTTGTAGTGAATTCATCTTTTTTTGTAATTCCTATAACTTCTTCATCTTCCTTTGAAGTTTCTGTAGTTACTTCTTCCATATATGCTTCTGTGGCTTCTTCAGAAGTTTCTGATGTGCTAAAAAAAAAAAAATGTGGATTACTTAAAAACATAAATTTGCATTTTGTGACATCATAACCACAATAAAAAACAGATATTGATAAAATAATTCATAAACAGATACTGATATAAATAAATAAAACTGTGCAAACCACAGTTTTAATTAATTATTTTATATAGTGATACAGAAGTATTTTTATGCTTATGTTGATCTGAAGAGCTGCATATATTGAAAGTAATGTACTGGACAACTAATTTATTGAAGTAAAAGGACACAAGTGCAACTAATGTGACATTTTATTGTGGCAACGTTTCGCTCTCCAGGAGCTTTATCAAGCCATTACAAACAATACATGGACACAGAGGGTATATAAAGGCTCAGAGTGAGGTGCAATACTAGTGAGGTACCATTTCGATGTTCACTAGTGGTAGTAGTAGTAGTAGTAGTGGTAGTAGTAGTGACAAAAGTAATACAATATGGTAGAGCAATTAATTCGTACATGAGTAAAAGGATATAAAAGCTATTACTTGGGTAACATAAAAATAGGTTGGACAAATATAGACTGGAAAGAGGCAGCTTGTTTCAGTGTTCACTCTCTGTAATGTGCTTGTGTAGTATAACAGGAGAGACTATGTGATGGCAGGGTTTACTGTTTTCAGGAGGATTCTTGCTAAGACTTCGGAGATGGTGAAGCTGCCGTCGTTTTGTTTAATTGTATTCGAAACAGCGATCAGTGCTGATTCGAGGCACTTGTGTCTGCGGAAATTAGTTTCTTTGATCACTAATTGGGCGTCTCTGAATTTCATGAGATGATTGGTGGAATTTCGGTGCTGTACACAGGCGTTGTTCAAGTTATCGTTCCTACATGAGTAAATGTGTTCATTGAGGCGGGTGTCGAGGTTTCTTGCTGTTTCACCTACATAAATCTTGTCACAGCCTCCACAGGGTATAGTGTAAACTCCTGCATTGACTGGTTCGTGGTGCTTGGATTTTGTCCTGGTTAGATCCTTTATTGAAGTGCTAGAAGCGATGGCGACTCTGGTGTTAGCTTGTGAAAGTACTTTTGAGACATTCAGTGCAACCTGGCTGTTGGGAAGAATTATAACTTTGTTGGGAGTTGTGTTGATGCGTGGAGAATTAAGGATCTGAAGAGCTCTTTTCTTGCAGTCTTTGATGAAAAAAGAGGGAAAATGTAACTCAGTGAATGTTTGGTGAATGTATGTACATTCCTCGTCAAGAAACTCAGGACTACAAATTCGGTATGCTCTTAGAAAAAACCCGATGATGATGCCTCTTTTGGTCTTGGTATCTTGACTGGAATAATAGTGTGTGAGATCATTTTTATTGGTGGGTTTCCGATAAACTTGAAATCTTAGGGTGTTGTCTACTTTGTGAATGAGGACGTCGAGGAAAGGTAGCTTGTCATTGGACTCTTCTTCTAGTGTAAACTGGATCGCCGGTTCAACTGCGTTGAGCCTTGCCTGAAGATCCCGTACATCAAAACGTTTGGGAGTTATTACGAGGACGTCATCCACGTAATGTAACCAAGCGACGCTTGAAGGGATGATGTTGGCGAAGTGTTCGGACTCTAGGTGTTCCATGTATAAGTTGGCTAGGATGGCACTGATGGGGGACCCCATTCCCATGCCGTAGGTTTGTTTGTAGAGCTTGTTATGGAAAGAAGGACAGTTGAAATTAACACAGAGTTCAATCAAGTCAACAAAATCTACGGGAGGTAGAGGAAGATTAAGGTCCTGATTGACTTTACGTCGTAGAACCTCGATGGCTTTTTTGGTAGGTACTTTTGTGAAGAAGGAAGTCACATCCAAACTGCTTAGTTTCTTGTTACGGATGGAGAGGTTACGGATGCGGTTGAGAAGGTCGCCTGAGTGTTTAAGATGAGCGGGGCTGATGGTCCCCAGAAGGCAGGAAAGATGTTTGGCAAGAACTCCGGCTAGTTTGTGTGGAGCACTGCCTATTCCTGACGTGATTGGTCTGAGAGGAATATTGTGTTTATGGGTCTTGGGTAAACCATACATGTGTGCTGGTTTAGGGTTGCTTGGTAACAAGTACAGAAGTTTCTTCCCTTCTCTAGTGCATTTGAGTATTTGTCTGGTTTTGTATAGAAAATCTTTGGTGAGCATCTCCCACTGTTGAGTGCTGATGGGTTCATATGTAGATTGATCATTCAAAAGGTCCATCATTTTAGTGTTGTAGTCACTGGTGTTGAGTATGATGACTCCACCTCCTTTGTCGGCGGTGGTGACGATAATGTTGGGGTCGTTGGCGAGGTTCTTAAGGGCAGTGATGTATCGTCTAGGAAGATTAGAAGAAGAAGGTTCACATAAAGCTGCAGTGAGAAGGCCCTGTATATAACCCATTTCCTGGAGAGCGAAACGTTGCCACAATAAAATGTCACATTAGTTGCACTTGTGTCCTTTTACTTTACATATTGTCGGTAATTCTACCAACTTTATTACAACTAATTTATTATGATCAGGTGAGAGTGAAGTAGATGAGAACAAGTGAATGCATGAAGAAGTTTAGATCTTTGAAGATTTCCAAAGAAGTGAAAATGAGTGCACTATGCTTAACCTGGTGTAATTGTATCCAATCTGGAATGTTCACTAAGATATAGGATCATGAAATTTGAACATGTTTGACTAGCATGTGAACTGCCAGCAGCCAGAATAAAGTAACATGCATAATGAAAAAATAGTGACAAGAATGGAGACTAATATGCAATGAATAATTGATGAAATCTGAAACTTTCTGAACATTTCAACATATTATTTCAGATTTTTTTTTCAACAAGTCAGCCGTCTCCCACCGAGGCAGGGTGACCCAAAAAGAAAGAAAATCCCCAAAAAGAATATATTTTCATCACCATTCAACACTTTCACCTGACTCATACATAATCACTGTTTTTGCAGAGGTGCCCAGATACAACAGTTTAGATGCATATACAAAGATAAAAATCTCTCAGATATAACATATCCCTCCAAACTGCCAATATCCCAAAAGCCTCCTTTAAAGTACAGGCATTGTACTTCCCATTTCCAGTACTCAAGTCCGGCTATATAGAAATAACCAGTTTCCCTGAATCCCTTCACTAAATATTACCCTGCTCACACTCCAACAGCTTGTCAGGTCCCAAAAAACATTCATCTCCATTCACTCCCATCTAACACACTCACTCATACTTGCTGTAAGTCCAAGCCCCTCGCCCAGAAAACCTTCTTTACCCCCTCTCTCCAACCTATCCGAGGACGACCCCTACCCCACCTTCCTTTTCCTACAGATTTATACGCTCTCCATGTCATTCTACCTCGATCCGTTCTCTCTAAATGACCAAACCACCTCAACAACCCCTCTTCAACCCTCTGACTAATACTTTTATTAACTCCACACCTCCTAATTTCCACACTCTGATTTTTCTGCATAATATTTACACCACGCATTGCCCTTAGGCAGGACATCTCCACTGCCTCCAACCACTTCCTCGCTGCAGCATTTACAACCCAAGCTTCACACCCATATAAAAGTGTTGGTACCACTATACTTTCATACATTCCCTTCTTTGCCTCCATAGATAACATTGTTTTTGTCTCCACAGATACCTTAATGCACCACTCACCTGGTGGCTAAAGCTCCCGCTTCACACACAGAGGGCCCAGGTTCGATTCCCGGCAGGTGGAAACATTTCGACACATTTCCTTACACTTGTTGTCCTGTTCACCTAGCAGCAAATAGGTACCTGGGTGTTAGTCGACTGGTGTGGGTCGCATCCTGGGGGACAAGATTAAGGACCCCAATGGAAATAAGTTAGACAGTCCTCGATGACGCACTGACTTTCTTGGGTTATCCTGGGTGGCTAACCCTCCGGGGTTAAAAATCCGAATGAAATCTTATCTTATCTTATCTTATGGTTAACCTTATCCTTCATAAACCCATCCACTGACACGTCAACTCCCAAATATCTGAAAACATTCACGTCTTCCATACTCCCTTTCTCCAAAGTGATATCAATTTTTTCTTTTATTTATTTATTTATTTATTTATTTATTTATTTATGTCTTTGCAAATAGTACATTGAGATTTTGTATTTACAATAATGGGTTGCAATTCAAAGAGAGCCTCTATTATGCCTAGGCATTATGGGCCGACTTAACATTATTGGCTTACAGACTACTTAACACAAAGAATTATATCATAGTTGTACAGTAGAATAGTGGTAGGTAAGACACATAGGCAACAGTTAGGCAACTTTATTCCGAAACGTTTCGCCTACACAGTAGGCTTCTTCAGTCGAATACAGAAAGTAGGCAGGAACAGTAGAGATGTGAAGGCGATGTAATCAGTCCATCACCCTTGAAGTCATAGAATTTTGAGGTTGTCAGACCCTCAGCCTGGAGAAGTTCAGTTCCATAGTCAGGAACTATCTAAAGATCAAGCGACAGTGCAGAGACTTAAATACTGTCGGAAGGAGAGGTGCAGAGTAGTAGTAGTAGTAGTAGTAGTAGTGAGAATGTAGCCACTGAGAGGTCAGGTCCCTCTCAGATCCAACAGTTCTCACTTGAAAGGGTTGTCCAAGGTGTTTTCTGTACCAAGAGGCCATGTATTGCAGTGTCTGACAAGATGAACATCAAAATGGTATACAATACCGGAACATTTCGTATTATTAGTGTTTTTGGTGATTTTATCTGCAAAATAAGTGACCATGGGCCCCAAGAAAGCTTCTAGTGCCAACCCTGTGGTAAAAAGGGTGAGAAATATTATCGAAATACTGTGGTACCATGGTCAACTGCTGATGCTGCTGCTGCTGTAGCACCGTCAGCTGCTGCTGCTGCTGTACCACCGCTAGCTGCTGCTGCTGCTGCTGCTGTAGTACCGTCTGCTGCTGCTGTAGCACCGTCTGCTGCTGCTGTAGCACTGTCAGCTGCTGCTGTAGCACTGTCAGCTGCTGCTGCTGCTGCTGTAGCACTGTCAGCTGCTGCTACTGCTGCTGCAGCACTGTCAGCTGCTGCTGTAGCACTGTCAGCTGCTGCTGCTGCTGCTGTAGCACTGTCAGCTGCTGCTACTGCTGCTGCAGCACTGTCAGCTGCTGCTGTAGCACTGTCAGCTGCTGCTGCTGCTGTACCACCATCAGCTGCTGCTGCTTCTGTAGTACCGTCTGCTGCTGCTGCTGCTGTAGTACCGTCTGCTGCTGCTGTAGCACTGTCAGCTGCTGCTGTAGCACTGTCAGCTGCTGCTGCTGCTGCTGCTGTAGCACTGTCAGCTGCTGCTGCTGCACTGTCAGCTGGTGCTGCTGCTGCTGCTGTAGCACCGTCAGCTGCTGCTGCTGCTGTAGCACCGTCAGCTGCTGCTGCTGCTGTAGCACCGTCAGCTGCTGCTGCTGCTGCTGTAGTACCATCTGCTGCTGTTGTAGCACCATCTGCTGCTGCTGTAGCACCATCTGCTGCTGCTGTAGCACTGTCAGCTGCTGCTGTAGCACTGTCAGCTGCTGCTGCTGCTGCTGCTGCTGCTGCTGTAGCACTGTCAGCTGCTGCTGCTGTAGCACCGTTGTTGGTGTGGCTTATTGAGAATACCAAGAAACAATTAACCCCAGAGGGTTAGCCACCCAGGATAACCCAAAAAAGTCAGTGTCATCGAAGACTGTCTAACTTATTTCCATTGGGGTCCTTAATCTTGTCTCCCAGGATGCAACCCACACCAGCCGACTAACACCCAGGTGAACAGGGAAAAATGCCTGGAACTAGTGCTCATATTAGTGAATTTAAAGCCAGCAAAGGTTGGTTTGAGAGATTTAAGAATCGTAGTGGCATACACAGTGTGATAAGGTCTGTTCTGGAAGAAAATGCCAAACAGGACCTACAGTACTCAGGAGGAAAAGGCACTCCCAGGACACAGTGTCTCATCAGTCATTGCTGCATCTTCAATAAAGGTGTCATTTATTCTTCATTTAGTAGAGAAGTAAATGCACAATATATATTGTGCATGTACTACTCTACTATTGTGCATGTACTACTCTACTATTGTGCATGTACTACTCTACTATTGTACATGTATCCTTCTCTTTGTGTGTAGGAAAATGTATATTTCATGTGGTAAAATTTTTTTTTTCATACTTTTGGGTGTCTTGCACGGATTAATTTGATTTCCATTATTTCTTATGGGGAAAATTCATTTGCATAACGATAATTTCGCATAACAATGAGCTCTCAGGAACGGATTAATATCGTTATGCGGGGGTCCACTGTACTGTACTGCATTTTTAAAACTATTCCAACCCTCTTCAACCCACTCCCCCACTACTCATACTTGCACTAGCCCACCTTTCTGCCAATAGTTACTTATATCTCACCTAACTTCCTCCTCCCTTAGTTTATGCACTTTTACCTCTCTCTTACTTGTTGTTGCCATTTTCCTTTTGTCCCATCTATCTCTTACTCTAACTGTAGCTACAACTAAATAATGATCTAATATATCACTTGCCCCCTCTATAACATGTACATCCTGAAGTCTACCCATCAACCTTTTATCCACCATTACATAATCTAATAAACTACTTTCAGTACGTGCTATATCATACCTTGTATATTTATCCTCTTTTTCATAAAATATGTATTACTTATTACCAAACCTCTTTCTACACATAGCTCAATTAAAGGCTCCCCATTTTCATTTACCCCTAGCACCCCAAATTTACCTACTACTCCCACCACAACATTTTACCCACTTTAACACTGAAATCCCCAACCTCAAGTACTCTCACACTTGATTCAAGACTCCCCACACACTCACTCAACATTTCCCAAAATCTCTCTCTCTCCTCAACACTTCTCTCTTCTCCTGGTGCATAAATGCTTACTATAACCCACTTTTCACATCCAACCTTTATTTTTTATTTTATTTTCAGATATTGTTCTAAATTAGAAAGAATTTTTTCCAAGATTTAACTGTCTGATTTCTGAAATTCAGAATCTTATAAGAGCTAAAATTCTGAATTTCAATTCAGAAAATAACTACAAATCAGTTTTATTATCAATTACGAGAGAGGGGTCTGACTTCTATTAGAATTTTTTATACAATAATTTGAAAACCTCCCTACATTCATTGTCTTAAATATGAAAGAAATATACAATAAGATGCAAACACACATACCTCCAAGGATATATTTCCTCTTCTGGGGAAGGCAAGCTTATTGTTGATGATTCTCCTGGTAATAAATTATAGTAATAAAAATTTAAAGGTGAGGGATTCATCCCTAATCATCGCATAAAAATTAACAGGAGTAAAGTAATCATTCAAAGTGAGCATTTTCAATAATTTACAGATATTTTTGAGAACAAAACTGAAGGAAGTCCATGCACTAAACTTAATTCTTTCAAGTTGTCTGTTACAAAATTAGCATCAGATATATCTACGTTACTTATTAAGTATATGCATACTTTTACTTGAAAAAGATATTTACTGGAAAACACTTGCTTTAAACACCTATGATTTTTCTCACTGACAAACATCTGTAATGCTCTAGGGAGTACAGGACCTGGAATTGTCTGGTGAGATACACTTCTTACAGTACTGTCTGTGGGATCAACATCCTGGCCCTCCTTTATCAGCATCAATGCTCCTCCTATTAGTCACTCGTAATCACTATCAGCTTTAAGAAGTAACTCTTCCTCTGGTATGTGTCCCTAAGGTTATTAATCAGAGGAAGATATTCCTCTTTTTAGTAATTAAGATAATATAAATTGAGCAAATATGGTGAAAGATGGATGATAGAAATTAAAGTACAGTAAACCTTCTCAAACCTGCTGATGAGACAGGTTTGTTCTGGAAGAAGATGCCATGTAAAGCATACATCGGCAAAGAAGAGAAAACTGCTCCTGGATTCAAGGACATAAAAGACCATTCCATCTTGCTTTTTTGTAGTAACGCATCAGACTTTCAATGTAAACCATAGCATGGGTGAGTAAGGCCTTCTTAATTGAATGGTTCAAGCATCACTTTATTCCTGAAGTAAGGATGTATACTCTGAATTCTCTGCGCAATATCCACCCCACACATTGCTCTGAAACATGATATCTCAACTGCCTCTAGCCTGCTTCTCACTGCACCATTCAAAACCCATGCCTCACAACCACATGAAAGCATTGGTACCATAATCCTCTAGTATGCTCTCTTTGTCTCTATAATTTTTTTTTTTCCCCACAGATATTTCAACACACCACCCACCTTTTTTCCTCTTATCTATTCTATGGTTCACCTCATCTTTCACAGACCCAACTGATGACACGTTCACTCCCATACATCTAAGTACATCTACTTCCTCCCTCCAATGTGTTATTCAATCTATCATTGCCTAGACTCTTTTTGTTATCCTTCAGCACCTTGCTCTTTTTTTTACATTCATTTGTAATAGCTGTTGAAGAATATAAATTTGAATAAATGAGAAAATTAATCAACATGGTTATGAGACACCTAATTAATTGCCATTACCTTGAATAAAAATCTTCAGCTGTGTCTCTTGTAAAATGAAAGAATTTTTAATATCTTTGCAGGTGTATGTTCCCAGATCATCTTCATTGATATCATTGATAGTAAGTATTATGATGGCTCCTGGTTTATCAGTCTCTTCTGACCTTGCCCATACATATTTTTCTGTATTATTTGGTGATGACTGCAGTATATCTTCTTCCTTATATACATATTTAACCTGTTAATGAAAAAATATCCTCTCATGGAGTATAAATAGAACTCTTTACCTCATTTATAAAGCTACTAACCACTTAGTAGAATTTTTTGCTTCTCTGAGCAATGCTGCATCACAGACCAATACAAAACTAAGACACAGAGTAAGGATTGCTCCAGAGCATTTAAGAGTTAAGCAGAGGATGGATCAAAGACATATAAATGATAAAATTTTAATTTAATGATGCCTCACCCACTGTGGGGTTTTGTATGAGACAAAACATAGTTAGATATATGGCACGTTCCATTTGCATGTCCTTGATTCGCACTACCTGTCGGCTATTGTCATACATCGGTTTATTAATAGTAAAAGTTTGATGCCTTGATTATCACGTATTACTTTATTAACTCGTTGATCACATACTTGTATAACATTATGGTTGTATTCTCATTTTCTTGGTCTCATTTGATAGAAAGGAAGATGTATTACAGAAATAGAGATGATTTTGATTGGTTCCACGATGACAAGTACCTTGAAATTGAGCTCAAATTAGCGTAAATGTTCAATTTTTGCCGATGTTTCAGAGTAAACAAATCATGCCACAAGTCCTATACACATCAACTGGTGAGTCTAATATTCTTTCACAAGTGCACTGATATTGTTTATACCATTTTTGCAATGATGCAGTAGTATACATAAAAGTAAACCTTCTGTTTTTTGTGAGAATAAAAATTCAGAATGGAATGCAAAAGTAATATAAGGGGGGCCTGGAGATGTGACTAATGAACAGATAATATGTTATTTTAGTGCCAGGAATGTCTGTCTTGTTTATTGTGGATCCTACTTTGAAATTGGCATCTTTTGAAATTTGTGTGAAATTCGTCAAATTCCCAATTTCTGACCACTTTATTGGGTAGTTGAAATCGATAAATGGGGGTTTCTGATACTCAATTGATAGAACTAATGGAGTTCTATTGAAATAGCTATGATTTTAGTCGACTGGAATGTTGGAATTGGCCAAAAATAGAGCTCAAAATGGGCAAAATCGCTGATGCGTAAATATCATAGAGACCACTAACTTCATGAGACCATAATTCTGTAGGTTTTCCATCAAATTTCATACTTTTGGTATCATTATGATCGGAAAAGGATTCTCTATCATTTCATGAGAAAAAATCAATTTTTTTTTGAAAATTTTTCAACTCTGAGAACGAGTTTGGGAGAGGGCCTCTCGACCCTCAAAGAGTTAAGAGAAAAGGTTTGATACAGGTTGGCCATCACTAATCCAGCATCACTGGAACCTGTAGTGTGCCGGATTAGTGAGTTTACAGGATTACAGAGTGGTGAGGTTATAATACACTTAATTAACCTATCAATAGAGACTGCTACATCTTCCTCAGTTTCATCACTGTTTTCTCCTCCACTGGCTTGCTGGTGTGGATTTACAACTATCTGCTCAATTTCTGAGTCAGTATAATGATGAAATTTGAAATTATGCTAGCCAAAATTAGTGCTAGATTACTGATGGAACAGGATAACTGATTGCCGGATTAGTGATGGCCGATCTGTACCTTGAATATTAGTGCCTACCCTGAATAAAAGACTCAAGTGCTCCACCTTAGATAAGCGAGGTCACTTTCTACTTACACAAAACCAAATAATAATTACCAGATATTTTCCACTAATACAGTACCAAAAATAATTACCAAACATGAAGATAAAAGGCACAAAATTTGATAAGAAATTAGAGTCACAACTGAGATGAGATGAGACAAAATATCAGTAAGTAGGTCAAAAGGCAGTGACCCTTGGTACTTACAGACACAAGGCAGAGTTATAACTAACATTAAAAAGAAACAAGAAACTTACCCAGTCCCCAGTTGGTGAGTAACATCTAATCCTGGCATTCTCACCAAGCTGAACCCATGCCAACCCTATAAAGTATGATAAGAGTCAAACAAATTTAAGTTTCCCCCATGATAGTAATGAAATAAAGGAAGACTCATAAATGAATAAATCTGCCAACTCCAGAGTCATGAGATCAACATGGTAATTATCACACCAACTCTGCTTTAGAAAAAAAATCTTGTACTAGGACACTGATTATCATTAACTTCACTTCTGCCTTAAATAACTTACTTTACAGAATTCTTAATGGCACTTCAAGCATTGGGTAACATAACAGCTTAGGCTTGTTTAAACTAAATGAATTTATGATTGAGGCTATTGTACATAATCTTAAACCTGGAAATTTCACAAATGCTGACTGCCTCAAATGTCTTCATTCTACATGGATATGAAGACGACATTTGGCTTCTATTATTTATTTTTTTAACACATCGGCCATTTCCCACCAAGGCAGGGAGACACAAAAGGAAATGCTTTTACCATCATTCACACATAATCACTGTCTCTGCAGAGCCATTCAGATATGACAGTTTAGATGTTACTCCAAAGAGCCAATATCCCAAACCCCTCCTTTAAAGTGTAAGCACTGTACTTCCCACCTCCAGGAGTCAAGTCTGGCTAACCAGTTTCCCTGAATTCCTTCACAAAATATTATCCTACTCATACTCCAACAGCTCATCAGGTCCCAAAAACCATTCATCTCCATTTACTCCTATCTAACATCCTCACACATGCCTGCTGCATGTCCAAGCCCCTTGCACACAAAACCTCTTTTACCCCCTCCCTCCATCCTTTCCTAGGATGACCCCTACCCCTCCTCCCCTCCATTACAGATTTATACACCCTCCATCCTCTCTAAATGACCAAACCACCTCAACAACCCCTCTTCAGCCCTCTGAATAATACTCTTAGTAACTACACACCTCCTTCTAATTTCCACACTGCGAATTCTCTAAATAATATTTACCCCACACATTGCCCTTAGAAACAACATCTCCACTGCCTCTAGCCTTCTAGGTGCAGCATTCACAACCCATGCTTCACACCCTTTATAAAAGTGTTGTACCACTATACTCTTGTATATTCCTTTCTTTGCCTCCATGGATAATGTTCTTTGTCTCCACAGATACCTACCATCCACATACACAGTGAAGTTTTTTCTATAAATTTCCCGTTCATTAATAGCAAATTGGCAGACGTACAAGCCGGAGTGTGAAAGACTGGCATTAGTTATGGTGAGAAGATAAGAATTATCAGAAACTTTCAGTTTGTAGCCCTTAGCTTCAGCTATGTTGATCCTGCCCTGCGTTAGGAGAGTTGACCCTGGGTAATGCCACCAACTGACCTGAAACAAATACAGTTTAACTTACACTTTTTCCTCTTAAACTCATATACTGTGTAAAACAGCTGTTTTTTTTTTTTTAAGGAGGGCTATTATATCCCTTGTGAAAATAAATCTAACAAGAATGATTATTCAACATTTGTAGCTAACTTCAACAATGTAAGTACTTGAAGTGCTCTATGTTAAAAATATTTAAAATCTTATTTCCAATCCTAAATAAATTATTAACTGAAACAGGTATAACTATACTCTATACTCTCATGGGTGTGAAGCATGGGTTGTGAATGTCACAGAGAGGAGGAGGCAGTGGAGATGTGTGAGCAATGTGTGGTGCAAATATTATGCAGAGAATTCATTGCTTGGAAATTAGGAGGAGGTGCAGAGTTACTAAAAGCCTTATCCAGAATCCAGAGGGCTGAGGAGGGGTTGTTGAGGTGATGTGGACACTTAGAGAGTATGGAGCAAAACAGGATGACTTTGGAGGATGTATAAATCTGTAGGAGAGGGAAGACAGGGTAGGGGTATCCCTAGAAAAGGATGGAGGGAGGGAGTAAAGGAGATTTTGGATATCCAGTAGGCATGTATGAACGTGTTAGATATAAGAGGGTGGATGCAAATGGTTTCCGGGACTTGACAAGCTGTTGTAGTGTGAGCAAGGTAATATTTTGTGAAGGGATTCAAGGAAACCAGTTAGCCAGATTTGAATCCTGGAGGTGGAAAGTACAATGCCTGCATTCTGAAGGAGGGATAGGGATATTTGCAGTCTGCAGGAGTATTTGAATTGTAGTGTCTGTGCACTTCTAACAAGGCAATGACGGGAGTAAACGATGGTAAAGATAGTTTCTTTTTCAGGTCACCCTGCCTTGATGGGAGACAGCCAGTGTGTTAAAAAAAAACTGAATCATCACTAATAAAACTATAAAATTGCTTGTAAGATAGTCCAGCTTACCAAGGCTGAAGGCATATTGCCTTTGAGAGAACAATCCACTGTCACAGATTTTCCTTCATCAACTTGTAATTTAGTATCAGAGTCTTCAAAGTACTTCTGAATATCTGGAAAATTGGCATAAGGTTCAAATAACATAAATAAGCAAATAAGGTTATTGATATGGTCCAATGAACCATAAAATTATCACCATGAATTGTTATTTTAGTTCACTTCCATAAGTTAATAACTGAAAAGACAAAGTTACAAAGGGATCCCCACCCAGATAAGGAAAATCATGTCTCACTAGCCTCAATGAGGTCAATGATTGGATGACAGAAATAAGACAGAAAGAGAAGTGGGGAGGAAGGGAGGCAGACTGAATGTTTCTGGGCTATCAGAAGGCCATCAATACAGTTCTCAAGAAGAGATTTATTTAAAAGCTGGAAAAGCAGGAGAGGATATCACAGCCTATGCTCCATTGCATAAAGAAATGCTTGATTGATAAGATAAATAGTTTTATAATGAAAATCAAAATATTGAATTACAATAACAAGCAAAGTTTCCCAAAGATCAGTTTCTGGTTTCAAAAGTGACATTAAAGTTTTCCAACATTAGATAAAATTTTAAAAACTGTATGTCATGCCTAGAATCACTTAGTATGATTGTGGGTTATTTGTGCTTTTCTTTCCTGCCTTTTTAGACTATATTAAATAGTATCCTCCAAATAATCTTTACTCAGGCTAATACAACTGCTGACAAGAAAAGAGGAAAGTTATTTTTAATATTAAGCAGAAAGTAAATATGCTACTACAATATGTGCAGAGAGAAGAGTTTAAGAGAAATTTGAAAGAATTTAAAACTGGCATATCAACTGTGCAAGATTTGGCCCAAGAAGTTGGATTTTTAAATTTCTGTACAGAAACTGTAACAGAGAAGGTCCTCAAGCAGAAATGTTTTCAACCCTGAAAACTATATAATATATGACAATGTTAGAATCATTCAATCAATCAATGGAATCAATCAATAGCAGAAATTGAAGCTAATACTTTTCTGTATCTTTTACTAACCTTCAAAATTCACTCCAAACAGGTATTGTGGAAGTATTACTAATGTTGTATTTCCCAACTTTTGTCCATCCAATGAGCAACCATAAGTAGTGTCAAGGAAACTCTTAATCACCATTAAACCCAAAATTCCATTTTCAATATATGGATAATAGTTGGAATCTTGAGTTAAAATTTCACTATCTGAAGTTATCTGGTAATCTAGATCAGCATCAAACCACTCCATCTGAGAAAATAATTAATTTTCATCAATACTACCAAGAAGACTAATTACACAGATATATAATGATTGAATGTAATATTTTTATAATTATACCCACTGCATGGAAAGGTTTTGCTAAGTCTAACATAAAATTTAAATACAGGAAGGCCCCGCTTATATAGCAGAATAGGTTCCAGGCTACCATTGTAAAGCGAAAATCGCTGTAAAGTGAATCATAGCCTTTTCTCACTTTCAGATACATATAAAAGCCTGACAACATGTTTACATTATCATATATTAAGTGAGCAATAAAGCTAGGTCTAAAAAAGACATATACAGTACACGGTACTTACCTTAAAATATTTTCATCCTTAGCTTATAGTAAGTGGTGAATATATTTATTGTAGGAAGTCTGAATAAATAAAGAATGGGCATAACTGCAAAACTGTTATATTAGCAAAACACCATAAAGTGAAGTGCTGTAAAGCAGGGCTGTGAGGGAAAAGTTCAACAGATAGGAGCAGCGAGCGAGTATATGGGGAAGATAGTTTGACTGCCAGCTGCTTGTTAAGGTAGGGTCAGTCTAGCTCCCGCTATCCCCCCCCCTTTCTCCACCCTGAAAGGCGACGTGTGGGGCTCGGACCAAACAGTAGTCACTTGACTCACAGCTCCCAGCACAACTCTTGGAATGACACCTCGGGTCATCTGCCAACCAAAGAAACGTGTTGAAGGAGACGGACTGAAAAAAAAATCCTGAGACGTCACTTTTTGATCTACCTACCTGATTAATTGTAGGCAACAGCAGGCAACTACCCCTCATCTTTGCAGTGGTAAAGAACCTGCGTACCTGTCATCTGGACTGACTATTCAAGGCTATAGACTCTGTGAAGAACTAGTTGTTGGGTTGTCACTCAACACCTGTGACCCTCCCTCCCCCACATCATCAGTAACGGCTACAATTTCTACAAGACGGTGTCAACCTCAACCAGACACCCCAGTATAACTGTACATATTAGCGTTGAATTCGAATGTCATTTTTCCACTTCATTTTTCATTTTTCTTTCAAGTAGGATACACATTCATGTTTTAATGTTTTATCTTTGCATTACTAAATAATAGTGTTTATCTTTGTGAATTATTATTTCTTTTTCTCTTCATTAATTTTCCTGAGGAGGAGCCAGCTTTGGTAATACTGACTGAAATTATTACAGGACTGAGTAAGCCTTCACAAGGGCCTGCCTGTATATATTAAACATACATAGTTCAATTACACCTGCATAATTAAGGATATTCTAACTTTAATTCTAACTTTAAAGAATTACCTTTAAAGTACTACCTACTATTATATTCCCAAGCTCCATTATTTGATCATCACTTTATTTGTTCACAACAAATTATTTTAGTCCCTTTTATATTGCCTCCTTTATTTTAGCTTTAAAAAACTACCTTAGCTCATTATTTTTACATTTGTTAAATAATTCAGGTGCTTTTTTTTTTAGCTTTAGAATATTTACTTTATTTTTTACTTAATTCTAACTATAGATTCACTACAAATCTTATGATTACAAGCATTGATCCTGATACCAACCTCTTATTTAATGACTTAAATGATTCAAACAGTTACTGTAATTACTACACAGCAGAACAATCAAAGGCACTTCTCAGAGCTAACAACAACATAACTATCTTTAACTACAATATCAGATCTTTAAGCAAGCATTATGATGACCTCCTAGCATTACTAAATTCCTTGCATGCCAATATGTCCATCATTACACTAACTGAAACCTGGCTAAAGCTTGATACTACAGATGTCTATGCCATTCCTGGTTACACAGCCATACACAACTGTAGCCAGACCAACAAGGGGGTGGCACTGCTATATACTACTCAGACCAACTAGAATGTATCACTAATACTTGCACAAGGGATGAACATGGGGAATATATAATAGCTAAATTCAAATCCAATTACCTACAAAAACCTCTCACAGTGATAAACATCTACAGAGTTCCACAATCAAACATTAGCCAATTTAGTCAAAACCTAGGAAGTATGATAACTGATGCACGCATGAACAAAGATCACTTACTACTCTCAGGTGACTTCAATATAAATCTCCTGCAAGACCAGGACCCACACGTTACTGAATTCACAAACACAATGAGTAACTGCATGTTGCTACCAACAGTAACAAAACCTACAAGAGTTACAGAGACTAGTGTTTCCCTACTTGACCACATCTGGACCAACACCATATCCCCTTTAAATCAGGCATAATTACAGATAATACCACAGACCACTACCCTACTTTCCTCATAACAACTCTTGGTAAAATACCCCAAAACACTACTAAAGTCACCTTCAGACTTCACAATGAGGCAGCCATTAATAACTTCACAACAGCAGTAAACAAACATGACTGGCACACTGAGCTAGAAATCTATACAGATAGTGACGAATGTTTTAATAATTTTCTAAAAAAGACCCAATACCTTTATAACAAGCACTGCCCTAAAAAAACTAAACAGATGACAGCTAAGAGACTGAACAGTCCCTGGCTAACACCCAGCATTCTCAAATCCATAAATACAAAACACCGATATGAAAAACAGTACAGAATGGGTCACATAACCAGAGACCAAACAAAACGTTACTCGTCAATTGTAACCAGCCTGATAAGAAGGGCAAAAAAATTGTATTATGAGAACAGATTATCCAACTTACGAGGTGATATAAAAAAGACCTGGAAGACCCTATCAGAAATTCTGGGAACAAAAAAGATATCACAACATAGCGAAATAAAATTAGCAAAATCAGATGAACCCCAACTCCCACCAACAGAAACAGCAAACAGACTCAATGATTTCTTCTCCACTATAGGTCAAAACCTTGCCAATAAAATCCCAAGCTCAGATACCCCACCAAATGACTACCTCACTGGCAACTACCCGAACACACTGTTCCTAGCTCCGACTAATCCATACGAAGTCTCCCTTATTATCAACGCACTGAAAAACAAGGCAGGAGATTTAAATACCTTACCACCCTTTATATACAAAAAAGCATCACAAGTACTATCACCAATCATTGCAACACTCTTTAACAAATCCACTGAATCCTCCACCTTCCCTACAGTTCTCAAAATAGCAAGGGTCACCCCGATCCATGAAGGAGGAGACCAAACAGTTGAATAACTATAGGCCAATATCCAATTTACACCCTCTCTCAAAAATCTTCGAAAAATTAATTCATAAATGAATCTACTCCTACCTCATCTCCCAAAACATTCTCAACCCTGCCAATTTGGATTCAGGCCTAATAAAAATACTAATGATGCTATTATACACATGCTAGAACATATATACACTGCAATAGAGAAAAAAGAAGTCCCACTGGGGATCTTCATTGACTTACGTAAAGCTTTTGATACAGTTGACATGACTTGCTCCACGTAAAATTGTCACACTATGGTATTAGAGGGCACTCCCTCAACTACCTCAAGTCTTACCTCAGCAACAGAAGCCAATATGTGTACGCAAATGGGGCAAGCTCTTCTGCACAACCAATTACAGTTGGTGTCCCACAGGGAAGTGTCCTTGGCCCTCTTCTCTTTCTCCTATACATAAATGACCTACCAAATGCTTTGCATTACTCAAACCCACACTTTTTGCAGATGACACTACATACGTCTTCTCTCACCCGAGCCCAGTCACGCTAGCCAATACTGTAAACACCGAATTACAGAAAATATCTACCTGGATGAGGACTAACAAACTTACACTAAACATTGACAAAACCTACTTCATTCAGTTTGGTAACAGAGCTACAGATGTACCTCTTAACATAACAATAAATGGATCACCTATCACAAAGCTAACAGAGGGAAAATTCCTAGGAATCCACCTCGATAATAGACTCAAATTTCATACACATATACAACAAATTTCTAAGAAAATCTCCAAGACTGTAGGCATACTATCGAAGATACGGTACTATGTTCCACAGTCAGCCCTCCTGGCCCTTTATCACTCTCTTATTTACCCCTATCTCACCTATGGAATTTGTGCATGGGGCTCAACAACAATTAACCATCTCAGACCACTAATTACCCAACAAAAGGCTGCAGTTAGAATGATAACAAATTCTCACTACAGGCAACACACTCCACCAATATTCAAAACACTCAACCTACTCACCATACAAAACATCCATACTTATTATTGCACCTATTACATACATAGAACACTTAACTCTGATATTAACCCTCCCCTCAAACATCTCCTTGCCAACCTCAACAGAACACATGACCATAACACAAGGCACAGATCACTCTTTGATGTTCCTCGTGTCCATCTCACGCTATGCAAAAACTCAATGCACATAAAAGGCCCTAAAATCTGGAATTCATTACCTGTGAATATAAAAGAAACACTACCTGTTTATAAATTCAAGTCTCTTCTCAAAGATCACTTACTCACTCAAAACCAAATAAATACTGAATAACTGAACCTTATAAATTGTATATCCTATATGTTACTCACAATTATATCACACAAATGTTAAACCTAGGACCCAATCTAACTTTATTATTTTTTTAAATACACTACCTAACAGAATACTCCATTCGACTGAATGTACAGCAATGCAAGCAACCATATGACCTGTCTTTGTAATACTCATTTGTGCTTTATAGTTATCTGTTTACAATAATGTTTTATCACTGATTTCATCATTGCTTAGTTAATCTTAAGTTAATTTTAAGCCAGCCCGGCTTTGGCATGCTGCTCTTACCTGTATTTTTTGTACCTCTGTTTGTATGCTTAAATTACTAAATAAATAAATAAATAAATATTATCCACCTTCTATCTCACAGTAGTAATACTACAGTATATAGACCCCCCTAAAAAGAAAACCCTTTCACCATCATTCATACTATATTGTCTTTGCAGAGGTGCACAGATACGACAGTTCAGATGTCACTCTAAACAGCAAATATCCAAAACCCCTCCTTTAAAGTGCAGGGACTGTACCTCTCACCTCCAAGACTCAAGTCCGGCTAACTGGTTTCCCTGAATCCCTTCACGAAATATTACCCTGCTCACACTCCAACAGCTCAAGTCCCAAAAACTCCCATCTAACACATTCACACATACATGCTGTATATCCAAGCACTTTGCACACACAGCCTCTTTTACACCTCCCTCCATCTTTTCCTAGGATGACCACTACACCTCCTTCCCTCCACTACAGATCTATACACCCTCCAAATTATCCTATTCTGCTTCATCCTCTCTAAATGACCAAACCACCTCAAAAAAAAACCCTTAGCCCTCTGAATAATACTTTTAGTAACAGTAAACATCCTCCTAATTTCCACACTACAAATTCTCTGCATAATATTTATACCACACATTGCCTTTAGATATGACATCTCCACTGACTCTAGCCTCCTCCTTGCTGCAGCATTTACAACCCATGCTTCACACCCATATCACACACCAGTTGACTAACACCCAGGTACCCATTTTATACTGATGGGTGAACATGGACAACAGGTGTCTTAAGGAAACATGTCCTAATGTTTTCCAGCCATACCAGGGATTCGGTCTCCGGACCTCAGTGTGTGAGCTGAGTGCACTAGCAATCGAGCTACAGGATACCTAGCTAAGGACGAAAATATTTTAACGTAAGTAATGTGTGTACTGTTTATGCATTTTTAGGCTTAGCTATATTGCCCACTTATCATATGATAGTGTAAACATTCTATCAGGCTTTTATATGCATCTGAAAGTGAAAAAAGGCTATGATTCAATTTACAGTGATTTTCACTTTACAGCAGTAGCCTGGAGTTTACTTGGAGTTTACCTGGAGAGAGTTCCAGGGGTCAATGCCCCCATGGCCTGGTCTGTGACCAGGCTTCATGGTGGATCAGGGCCTGATCAACCAGGCTGTTACTGCTAGCTGTATGCAATCCAACATATGAGCCACAGCCCAGCTGGTCAGGTACCAACTTTAGGTGCTTGTATAGTGCCTGCTTGAAGAAAGACAGGGGTCTATTGGTAATTGGTAATGCTGGGAGGCAGTTGAACAGTCTTGGACCCCTGACACTTATTGTGTTCTCCCGCCTGCATTCCAGGGAGTACAGGTTCAGGAACTTCAAGCGCTCCCAGTAATTGAGGTGTTTTATCTCAGTTATGCACGCCATGAAGGTTCTCTGTACATTTTCTAGGTCAGCAATTTCACCTGCCTTGAAAGGTGCTGTTAGTGTGCAGCAATATTCCAGCCTAGATAGAACAAGTGAACTGAAGAGTGTCATCATGGGCTTGGCATCCCTAGTTTTGAAGGTTCTCATTATCCATCTTGTCATTTTTCTAGCAGATGCGATTGATACAATGTTATGGTCCTTGAAGGTGAGAGCCCCTGACATGATCACTCTTAGGTCTTTGACATTAGTTTTTTGCTCTATTGTGTGGCTGGAATTTGTTTTATACTCTGATGAAGTTTTAATTTCCTCATGTTTACCATATCGGAGTAATTGAAATTTCTCATCGTTGAACTTCATATTGTTTTCTGCAGCCCATTGAAAGATTTGGTTGATGTCCACCTGGAGCCTTGCAGTGTCTGCACTGGAAGACACTGTCATGCAGATTCAGGTGTCATCTGCAAAGGAAGACACAGTGCTGTGGCTTACATCCTTGTCTATGTCAGATATGAGGATGAGGAACAAGATGGGAGCGAGTACTGTGCCTTGCAGAACAGAGCTTTTCACAGTAACCATCTCAGACTTTACTCTTTTGACTACTACTCTTTGTGTTCTATTTGTGAGGAAATTATAGATCCATCTACCAACTTTTCCTGTTATTCCTTTGCCACGCATTTTGTGCGCTATTATGCCATGGTCACACTTGTCAAAGACTTTTGCAAAGTCTGTGTAAATTACATCTGCATTCTTTTTGTCTTCTAGTGCATCCAGTAGTTGGGACAGATAGGAGCGACCTGCTCTAAACCCATGTTGCCCTGGGTTGTGTAACTGATGGGTATCTAGATGGGTGGCGATCTTGCTTCTTAGGACCCTTTCAAAGATTTATGATATGGGATGTTAGCGTTATCAGTCTGTAGTTCTTTGCTAATGCTTTACTGCCCCCTTTGTGGAGTGGGGCTATGTCTGTTGCTTTTAGTAACTGTGCGACAACCCCAGTGTCCATGCTCCCTCTCCATAGGATGTTAAAAGCAGGTGATAGGAACTCACGGAGTTCCATGAGTCTGGCTCTGGGGCAGAGTGCACGGGCATGTTATTTATCGCCTGTTCGATAACCTGCTGTGTAAGTGGGGCCCTCCTGTAGTTGTAGATGATTGAAATGTGCAAGTGTTAGAAGGACCTCCTAGCATGCTTGGTAAGTTTACTGCAGTGCTACCCTATTGTGTTCTTCACTACAGGAATTACAGATTATAGATTTCAAAACTTCAAAAATATTACTCATGAATGAGTCAACCCCTAGTTTTTGTCCAAAAATTGGTTTTACACCCTTGAAATACAGTATACTAAAATGTATACAATAAAACTATTATATGCTCTCTTCCTAGCCTACATTTCTATAAAATTATATTTGTATCAAAAACACAATCAACTGGAATGTACATATATCATAGAACAGATTGGGACTTGAACCCATGACAAGCGAGTCTTAAAACTCACATGCCAGTATGCTAACCATCAGACAGCTGCATCTAATAAGATTCATCCAACTAGGTACATTTCTGTACACCAAAGGGAGGTTAGCATGGGCCACCACTGTGACCACAATGCAGGTTTTTACACATGACTCCCATACCAGCATGGCCGTGGTGTGCTCTGGCTCAAGTCCCTTCATAGCCGCTATCATGACTCATGAAATCATAATAACATGTTGGCAAACAAATCACGGAATGGGTGGGGCTTGAACCCCACTTATTCAGTTTGAGGACTCGCCTGCCATCAGTTCAAGCCCCATCTGTTCCATTATTTGTTTGCAATCATATTATTATGATTTTATGAGTCATACTGGAATGCATGTCTACTGTAACTTCTCTGTATGGCTCATAAGAAATAAAAAAAATTATTTTAACTTTTAACATGCAATGCACTGTACTTATCCATGTATTGTTTTTATAAATAAAATATTATTTGTAGAATTAAGTAAAATTTTATAACTTTAAATGATAGCATTCAACCAGATATACGCGAGTCAAAAATATTAATGAAAATAATACTGCAATACTTATAAAGTACCTTGATATCTTCTTCAGAGGTCTGAGCACAAGGCAGAAAAGAAGTCTGATCCTCCACAGCCACAATTTGTGGCACCATGATGTTTTTAAAACCTGAAAATCATCCAAAATAAACAATTTAAAGAGTTTTTATGAAATTCTGCATAGTAAAAACACATATACAATATTACACTGGCAGCAAAACAAAGTAGCCTCTATGCTTGATGGGGCTCAATGAATTCTTGGAATATACAGCTTTATAATGCTATGATTCTTGCATTTCCATACCATAACCAATGTTTACTCTGAAATATCATATATAATCAGTAGCAAAGTTTCTTTAAGGCAATTTCCCCAAGGCAACCCTAGGTCCTGTAAACCCATCAATTTTTTTCCTAACAGGCACAGAAACATAATTGCTTGACTCCAACTTATTGAGTCACACTGCTCACACATTCCTGTTGTCTAGCTCTGCACTTCACACTACTCTTGCAGCTCATTATCCTCCATTGCGATTTTGCCTCACTGACAACACACACACACACACCAAAATCATTCAACAGGCAGTGCTGAAACAGTTTTCAGCACTACACCAGAGTAGAAGACTGAGCCTCAAGATCAGTGCTGGTAGCACATGTTAACAGTGGATCCTTGGAACAAAAGCATTAGATTAGTAAGAGGCAATGCCTCACTTCAAGTGAGGTAAATACAGTAGAAATGGTTAAAAAATAGAGAAATGTTTCTACATCACATGCAGAAGTGATCTGTATTTATTTGTTAACTACCAGAATAGAATAGATCAGTGAAAATGCTCTCAGAATGTGAACAGATGACCAGGCCAAGGCAGAGAAAAAGCAGATTATGAAACTTGCCCAAGATGGATGAACCAGATCTTTCTACTGCAATAATTCAGCTGTTACAAAATTTAGAGAAACCTCTTCTGATGATGCTGAAGGTCATAGGTGCTCCCTTTTATCTTCTGGATTAGTGAGGTGTTCACAGAATGCTCTCTTGATCAGTCAGATTCTTGGTTAGGTTCCAGGTTTCACACTTCTATAAGCAACCCCATAAAAACATTTCCAGTCTTTCCTCATGCTCAGGCATTTAAAATATTCTTTAAGGCCAGGAAGAATAAGTTTTCCAGAGAAGTTTTGGGGGCAATGTCTAAGGAATCAGATAAGTCACCCTTGCTCCACCTTTTTCCCCCACTCTTAAGCAAGACGATCTTTGTCAATCAGAGGAGAGAGAGAAGGAAATGGAAGAGGTATGGTAGCATGAATGGTATATTCAAGAGGCAGAGGTGCTGAGGGAAGAACTTTTGCTGTCAGTTAGGAAGTTAAAGAGTGTAGCAAAAGTAGGGTCATTAGAGAGGAAGACTGAACATAGTAAGTATGTGAGGGCATTGCAGAAGGTAATTTTTTTTATACATTTTTTTTTATATTTTAAATTACAAGTAAAAAGCTTAAACTGATGTTCAGAAAAATATGATAATTACAATACTAATGATGTAGTGTGAATGGACATTACCCCAAGGTAATTGGGAAATAGAGCAATGATTACTGTAGTTGACTCCAGTTGAACTGCCTGTGTAGCAATTGCACATTTTAAAGCATTGTAATTTTCTTTGTATAACAAAAAACAATCAAACCAATTCTAAAATCAGGTGTTCTTAGTTCTGTATGAAAGTAAGAACATTCAACTTTAAAACACTCAACTATTATACTTCATTTGGTGTACTGTACCCTTTGTATACCCTTCATACTGGTGAAGGGCTCTATATACAAGGAATTAGAGCTATCCTCCCATTTCCCAGACATTACATGGCCCCCTACACCCTACAGGTTTAGCACTCCCCCATGAATGTAATAACGATTAATATACAGGTTAGGCCGTAGATAAGTCAGGTTTTGATCTTCTAACACCTTCACTAGGTGCTCACCTACTTGTGTTCAAAAGGATTGAGTTCCAGCTCTTGCCTTACTTCTAAACCATTATTCACATAGTGTGAGATCTTCCAAACCCCCAAAGACACTACCATGTTTACTTCTGACTTCTACCACCTTTTCCCCTTAGTGAAGTCTGCTTACAGTACTCACAAAGTTCTTTCTTAATTCTCTATTACATACATTTGTTTTAAGCTTCCATCTGACTCCCCTCATCTTGGTCCCACCCCCTGTTTCTTTTTTTAATAGTTATCTTCATCCATCAGTTACTGCCAGACAGGGTCAGATATTATTGTTATCTGTGTTTAGTTCTGAAGTATTGGGCCCAAACCTGGCCTTTAACCAGGCAATTAAGGAAATATTAGAGGAATAAGAACTATATTATGAAAAGCATAGAAAAGTAAAGTGTGTACTGAAGGTATGGTAATTAGAAATTTATCTACCATCTTACATGCCAGAATGCAATACATATCTTGAACACTGAGACCATATCACCTTTGTTTCTTAGTGTTTCCAGTATCTTAAGATTCAGTTCTTCAAGTCTGTCCTCAAAATTCAAACTCTTAATCAAGGAATGAAAGCCATCATGTAAATTCCTTTAAATATGAATAGGGTGCATACCTTTCTGGAAGGTAAGTGCAGTAGCAGTGCTGAGTGGGACGACTGTGACAAAGTTGGAAGCCTCACATTGAAACTCTGCATCTCTATCTGACTCTTCTACTGTAATGTCAAGGTAGGCTTTTGAAATGCCCTTCACTTGTCGAGTTTCAGATGGTATCTCTTTATTATTTCTAAACCATTTAAGTGTTGCAGGTGGAAGCCCACCACCGCTGGTGCAAGTTAGTCGGATGGAATCTCCAACTTGAACTTGACTGCTGTCAACATTTTCTTCAATCACTGGTGGCTCTGGTTCTGTATGAAAATACAATTATAATGATAGATACCATGTAATAAAGCATTATATACCATAACTAATGGTCTACTGTACTTACATTTTTTTACAGAATAGGTGATTTGAGTGTTACAAGAAATCAAAACATATTTAGTATGTATTTGGCTATGAATGTATCCACTTGATGAACCATACCATGGGCAGGGATTGAACTTGTGGTGAGTCAAAAAATGACTCACTCACCATAAGTTCAATCCCTACCCATGGTATGATTTGTCTGCAATCATATCTACTTGATATACTGTATATGAGAAGTATATCTACAGTGTATCTACAGTGTAGGTTTTCACTTTAGATTTTCAGAAATATTTGCTTATGGTGTTGATAATAAGTTATTATTAGAGAGGAAACATGATTATCCATTATAAAAGCAACAGATAAGCAAAATTTTCGATAAAAACATTTCTACATTTTTTTTTTAACAAGTCGGCCGTCTCCCACCGAGGCAGGTGACCCAAAGAGAAAGAAAATCCCCAAAAAGAAAATACTTTCGTCATCATTCAACACTTTCACCTCACTCATACATAATCACTGTTTTTGCAGAGGTGCCCAGAATACAACAGTTTAGAAGCATACACGTATAAAGATACACAATATATCCCTCCAAACTGCCAATATCCCGAACCCCTCCTTTAAAGTGCAGGCATTGTACTTCCCATTTCCAGTACTCAAGTCCGGTTATATAAAAATAACCAGTTTTCCTGAATCCCTTCACTAAATATTACCCTGCTCACACTCCAACAGCTTGTCAGGTTCCAAATACTATTTGTCTCCATTCACTCCTATCTAACATGCTCACGCATGCTTGCTGGAAGTCCACGCCCCTTGCCCAAAAAACCTCCTTTACCCCTTCCCTCCAACCTTTTTGAGGATGACCCCTACCCCACCTTCCTTACCCTACAGATTTATATGCTCTCCATGTCATTCTACTTTGATCCATTCTCTCTAAATGACCAAACCACTTCAACAACCCCTCTTCAGCCCTCTGACTAATACTTTTATTAACTCCACACCTTCTCCTAATTTCTACACTCCGAATTCTCTGCATAATATTTACACCACACATTGCCCTTAAACAGGACATCTCCACTGCCTCCAACTGCCTCCTCGCTGCAGCACCTACAACCCAAGCTTCACACCCATATAAGAGTGTTGGTACCACTATACTTTCATACATTCCCTTCTTTGCCTCAATAGATAATGTTTTTTTGTCTCCACATATACCTCGATGCACCACTCACCTTTTTTCCTTCATCACTTCTATGGTTAACCTCATCCTTCATACATCCATCTGCTGACACGTTACCTCCCAAATATCTGAAAACATTCACTTCTTCCATACTCCTCCTCTCCAATTTGATATCCAATTTTTCTTTATCTAAATCATTTGATACCCTCATCACCTTACTCTTTTCTATGTTCACTTTCAACTTTCTACCTTTACACACTCTCCCAAACTCGTCTATTAACCTTTGCAACTTTTCTTTAGAATCTCCCAAAAGCAGAGTATCATCAGCAAAAATAACTGTGTCAATTCCCATTTTGTATCTGATTCCCCATAATTTAATCCCACCTCTCTCCCCAACACCCTAGCATTTACTTTTTTTACAACCCCATATATAAATATATTAAACAACAATGGTGACATTACACATCCCTATCTATGACCCACCATTACTGGGAAGTAGTCTCCCTCTCTTCTACAGGAAGGGTGCTGCAATGGATCAGAGAATACCTGACAGGGAGACAACAACGAGTCATGGTACATGATGAGGTATCACAGTGGGGCACCTGTGACGAGCGGGATCCCACAGGGGTCGGTCCTAGGATCAGTGCTATTTCTGGTATATGTGAATGACATGATGGAAGGGTTAGACTCAGAAGTGTCCCTGTTCGCAGATGATGTGAAATTAATGAGGAGAATTAAATCAGATGAGGATCAGGTAGGACTCCAAAGAGACCTGGACAGGATGGACACCTGGTCCAGCAACTGGCTTCTCGAATTTAACCCCCGCCAAATGCAGTCATGAAGATCAGGGGAGAGCAAAGAAGACCGCAGATGGAGTATAGGCTAGGTGGCCAAAGACTGCAAACCTCGCTCAAGGAGAAAGATCTTGGGGTGAGTATAACACCGAGCATGTCTCCGGAAGCACACATCAACCAGATAACTGCTGCAGCATATGGGCGCCTGGCAAACCTGAGAATAGTGTTCCAATACCTTAGTAAGGAATCATTCAAGACACTGTACACCGTACACACTGTACATCAGGCCCATATTGGAGTATGCAGCATTTGGAACTCACACTTGATCAAGCACATCAAGAAATTAGAGAAAGTGCAAAGGTTTACGACAAGGTTAGTTCCAGAGCTAAGGGGAATGTCCTACAAAGAAAGGCTGAGAGAAATCAGCCTGATGACACTGGAGGACAGGAGGGTTAGGGGAGACATGGTAACAACATACAAAATACTGCATGGAATAGACAAGGTGGACAGAGACAGGATGTTCCAGAGAGGGGACACAGAAACAAGTCAAAGGGATGTTAGGAAGTATTTCTTCAGTCATAGAGTAGTCAGGAAGTGGAATAGCCTACCAAGTGAGGTAGTGGAGGCAGGAACCATACAGAGCTTTAAGATGAGGTATGATAAAGCTCATGGAGCAGGGAGAGAGAGGACCTAGTAGCACTCAGTGAAGAGGCAGGGCCAGGAGCTGAGTCTTGACCCCTGCAACCACAATTAGGTGACTTAGGTGAGTACACCCTAATCTGAGCCTCACTATCCTCATAAAAACTCTTTACAGCATTTAGTAACTTACCACCTATTCCATATACTTGCAACATCTGCCACATTGCTCCCCTATCCACTCTATCATATGCCTTTTCTAAATACATAAATGCAATGAAAACTTCCCTACCTTTATCTAAATACTGTTCACATATATGCTTCAATGTAAACACTTGATCTACACATCCCCTACCCACTTTAAAACCTCCTTGCTCATCCACAATCCTACATTCTGTCTTGCCTCTAACTCTTTCAATAATAACCCTACCATACACTTTTCCTGGTATACTCAGTAAACCTATTCTTCTATAATTTTTACAATCTCTTTTGTCTCCCTTCCCTTTATATAAAGGAATTATACATGCTCTCTGCCAATCCCTAGGTACCTTCCCCTCTTTCATACATTTATTAAACAAAAATACCAACCACCCCAACACTATATCTCCCCCTGCTTTTAACATTTCTGTCATGATCCTGTCAGTTCCAGCTGCTTTACCCCCTTTCATTCTACGTAATGCCTGACACACCTCCCCACACTCACATCCTGCTCTTCTACATTCCTAAAAGATGGTATACCTCCCTGTCCAGTGCATGAAATTACCGCCTCCCTTTCTTCATCAACATTTAAAAGTTCCTCAAAATATTCCCGCCATCTACTCAATACCTCCATCTCCCCATCTACTAATTCCCCTACTCTGTTTTTAACTGACAAATCCATTCATTCCCTAGGCTTTCTTAACTTGTTTATCTCCAAAATTTTTCTTATTTTCATCAAAATTTCTTGACAGTACCTCTCCCACTCTATCATCTGCTCTCCTTTTACTCTCTCACCACTCTCTTCACCTTTCTTTTACTCTCCATATACTCTGCTCTTCTTATAACACTTCTGCTTTGTAAAAACCTCTCATAAGCTACCTTTTTCCCTTCTATCACACCCTTTACTTCATCATTCCACCAATCGCTTCTCTTTCCTCCTGCACCCACCCTCCTATAGCCACAAACTTCTGCCCCACATTTTAATACTGCATTTTTAAAACTATTCCAACCCTCTTAAAACTCCCTACTACTCATACTTGCACTAGCCCACCTTTCTGCCAATAGTTGCTCATATCTCACTCGAACTTCTTCCTCCCTTAGTTTATACACTTTCACCTCTCTCCTACTTGTTGTTGCCATTTTCCTTTTGTCCCATCTACCTCTTACTCTAACTACATTTATAACTCATATTTTTTAATTTATTAAGCTTATCTTTAAACCTTTGGCAGAATGTCCATGTTTTTCTTTAGGTTCAAAAAGTGTATCGCCACCATTTACCATTCTTACATTGTATTTTTGTATACACTATATCCCAGTCAAATATAGTATTTAAATTCTATTTTCAAGTTGTTTAGTGTTGAATAGTTATTTTTCACTGCAGGTATTTCATGTTATCTTCTGTTGACAGTCTTTTGCCAATGATGACTCTAAGGTTTGGAATGGCATGTAAAAGAAGGAAATTGAAAGTGAACATAGGAAAGAATAAGGTGATGAGGATAACAAAAAAAAAAAATAGGTAATGAAAGACTGGATATCAAACTGGAGGGAGAGAATACATGTACAGAGGAAGTGAATGTATTCAGATATTTGGGAGTGGACTTGTCAGCAGGTGGATCTATGGAAGAGGAGGTGAACCACAGAATTGACGAGAGAAAAAAGGTGAGTGGTGCACTGAGGGGTCCGTTGTCCAAGGAACAAGGAAGCAAAGAGGGGAATGTACTAATATAGTGGTACCAATGCTCTTACATGGGTGTGAAGCATGAGTTATAAATGTTGCAACAAGGAGAAGGCTAGCAGCAGTGGAGATGTCATGTCTGAGGACAATGTGTGGTGTGAATATTATGCAGAGAATCTGTTGCTTGGAGATTAGAAAGAGGTACGAGGTTTCTAAAAGTATTATCCAGAGGGCTGAGGAGGGGTTGTTGCGGTGGTTTGGTTATTTAGAGAGGATGGTGCAAAATAGGATGACTTATATGGTGTATAAATCTGTAATGGAGGGAAGGAGTAGTAGTGGGTCATCCTAGGAAAGGGTGGAGGGAGGGGGTAAAAGAGGTTTTGTATGCAAGGGGCTTGGACATACAGCAGGTATGTGTGAACATGTTAGACAGAAGTGAATGAAGACAAATGGTTTTGTGACTTGATGGCTGTTGGATTTGTGAGCAGGTAAAAATTGAAGATAGGAAAAAAATGAGTGGGACTGAGGGGTCCTGGGTAAGGAAGTATAAGCAAAGAGGACTTGCAAAGATAGTGGTAAATGTCTTGCATGGGTGAAGCTGGTTTTAAATGTTGCATCCAGGCCTCAGTGGAAACGGCAGTGGGAAGAAAATAATAAAGACAATGTGTGGTGTGAATATTATACAATCTTGCTTGAATTAGAAAAACTTATAGGTATTCTAAAAAGTACCAACCTGGATTGGGAAAAGGCTTTGCTGTTTGTTTTAGAGAGGATGTTGTCAAATAGAATACTTCATATGTGTTGAATCTTGTAATGAAGAAGTGTAGTGTAGTGTCATCCTATGAAAGGGTGGGACGTTAAACGATTTGTATAAAGGGGCTTTCCAAACAGAGTATGTGTGAACTTACACAGAAGTGAATGAGCAAATGGTATTTAGTTTGATGAGCTGTTGAATGTGAGTCAGGGTAAATTTTGTGAAGATTCAGGAACTTGTTTACGTAGGAATTTGAGTCCGATTTGAATACATAACTAGACCTCTGCATTACATGGTTATTTGGCTATGAAAAAGTTTTCCAAAATTTTCGTATTACACTCTTACCAATTGTGTTGAAGAAAAATTATAAAAACCTATAACTAATTACTTCAAAACTTGGCTCTGCAAATAAACAAATTATAAGGAATAAATAAAGTTATTACATAACCTTGTGATTCAGCAAACCTTGTATTTAGCAACATATTTTTAAAATGCGAGATCCGGATGCAGTCTTGTCCATTTGCACAAGTCATCCATCATATGCCTGTTATCATATGTATACCAGTATTCAACGTCTCTCTAGAATTAATACTCAAGCTTGATAAAAAGAAATGAAGAATTCTATAACTCAATTCACAATATATAATTCAGCTTTATAAACAAGCTGTACATATTAAATTTAATATATACAATTAATAGTTGTTAATAGTTATGAGGATAACATATATAAAATTAGAAAAAGATTTACTTAGTTTTGAGGGAGATCATTTGGAGTTAAGTAACTTTTCAAATTTTAGCTTTACACATTCTGAATTATTTGAAAGATGAGTAATTATTAAATTCATGAAAATGACTTACTTTGATAACAGCTTTAGGACTTGTCTCTTGGAAAGGATAAAATCCTTAAAGAGATGTATTATTAGATAATTAGCTAAGAGCTGGGAGTGTTTTTACTTTCTTATGCGTATAAATGGTAAGCGCGAGAGGCAGGGGATTTGGAAATGTCTGTGCATCATTGTGGTCTGAATAATATGACAATTGTATCTACTTTGGAATACGAGTAGTCGGATTACCATAATTTGCCGGGAATAGGAATTTGTCGAGGTAGTAGTATTAAATAAAAAAAATTAGAAACAAATTATAAACAAAGAATATGCTTTTTAAAGGAAAGGCGGATTGGGTCCTAGAATGGTTTGTAGGGGAAAAAGGAGCTTTGGTGTATGATGCCCTTGGACTTCAGTGTTAGGCTGTTCTATCATTTCTTTAGTAATTTGGGTTATCTTACATTTCAACATCTTTTTGAGTGGGGAAAGTAACTTTAATGGGATGGGAACGGCAGCTACTTGAGTAGATGAATGTATGAAATACTCCCATTTTTGGACTCTGAAGTATATTATATGGCTCTCTGTTAGTTGAAAAAATAGTGGCAAAGCACCCCTTTTGGCAAGATAGTGATGATGAATGATGGTAAATTATTACTGTTAATAGATCAACCACTGATGCGAACAATCACATAATGTGGGGGGAAAAAAAAAAACTAAATGGTCCAAACGTATATTATCGTATCCCTATTTTAAATTTCGAAAGAAAGCTAAAAATAATCATTCTCTTTGCTTTTTTAGTTTAAATGTTAAAAAAACTTTGATTACTTTTTTTTTTATTTCAATCCTTTTGAGAAAAAGTGTCTACTTTTGTAGACTAACATGTGAAAGTTAGATCGATTGGACCGTTGAAATACTCAATTTGGAAGTAAAGTATAAATTCACTGGCCTCGTTGTTGACCATAACTTTGGATCGCTTTTCCTCCAGTCAAATGCTACAACTTATGAGAAATTTTAACCCTTAAACTGTTAAAACGAAATAATTTTAAACGAACATTGGGTGGGCGATCAACCCTATATGTTCCAAGTAGTCAAATTTTGTTACCAAGATCTGATAGTATGTATAAAAAGGTTAATCTTCTTGGGCATTTTAAAAAAATTGTAAAAAAACTTAGTACTGTTTTTTTTGCCATAATTGACATGAAAAAACGCATGGTAAAAACCTCGGATTCACTAAGGGCAGTAATTAACTTTAGGAAATTGGGTTTACCAACGAGTTTAATGGCTTTCAATGGATGTGGTCACATTTGATCAAAGAATTAAAGAAAAACCTACCCAAATGCAACATTTGTGAACACCTTTAATTTTTCAACTGGTATGTAATCCTCAGGAATGTCCTAGTGACGAACAATTCTGCAAGTGTCTTTGTGGCTGGCTTGCTTTGCGGTGTGGATGGCTGTAGTATAAGGTGGTCTGCTGGCAGTGTGTGCAGTTAAAATTTGGGACTGGCTGAGGGTGTGGGCCGCTTGCTCCCGTGCTGTGGAAAGCTGTTGGCACCCAGGGGTGCTGGCCCTTGTGTGCTGTGTGGCTTTGTGGAAAGTGATGGCTGACCCTGAGGGTGTGGCTTGCTGTGGCTGGCTCACAGGTGGCTGAGAAAATAAAAAGACCTGATGTACTGGCTCTGGTTGCAAGCAGCTGGTTTTGATAACTGGTGGTGCTGCTGGCGGTCTAGTTGGAGACCTGTCTGGCTGGTGGCTGGCTGGCTGGCTGGCTGGCGGCTGGATGTGTGGCTGGCTGGCTGTGGGCTGGCTGGCTGGCTGGCTGGCTGGCTGGGGTGGCGGGCTGGCTGGCTGGCTGGCTGGCTGGCTGGCTGGTGGCTGCGTGTGGCTGGCTGGGGTGGCTGGCTGGTGGCTGGCTGTGTGGCTGGCTGGTGGCTGGCTGGTGGCTGGCTGGGCTGGCTGGCTGGCTGCTGCTGGCTGGCTGGTGGCTGGCTGGCTGGCTGGCTGGCTGGCTGGCTTGGCTGGCTGGCGGGCTGGCTGGCTGGTGCTGGCTGGCGGGCTGGCTGGCTGGCTGGGGGCTGGCTGGCTGGCTGGCTGGCTGGCTGGCTGGCTGGCTGGCTGGCTGGCTGGCTGGCTGGCTGGCTGGCTGGCTGGCTGGCTGGCTGGCTGGCTGGCTGGCTGGCTGGCTGGCTGGCTGGCTGGCTGGCTGGCTGGCTGGCTGGCTGGCTGGCTGGCTGGCTGGCTGGCTGGCTGCCTGCCTGCCTGCCTGCCTGCCTGCCTGCCTGGCTTGCTCTTATATATCAACCTTTTATCCACCAATACATAATCTAACAAACTACTTACATTATGTGCTATATCACATCTTGTATACTTATTTATCCTCATTTTCATAAAATATGTATTACTTTCCCAGCATACATACGGGGGATTACCAATAGACCCTTGGCTGTCTTCAAGCAGGCACTGGACAAGCACCTAAAGTCGGTACCAGACCAGCTGGGCTATGGTTCGTAAGTCAGATTGCGTGCAGCCAGCAGCAACAGCCTGGTTGATCAGGCCCTGATCCACCATGAGGCCTGGTCACAGACCGGACCGTGGGGGCGTTGACCCCTGGAACTCTCTCCAGGTAAACTCCAGGTATTACCAAACCTCTTTCTACACATAGTTCAAGTAATGGCTCCCCATTTTCATTTACCCCTGGCATGCCAAATTTAGCTACTACTCCCTCAACAACATTTTTACCCACTTTAGCATTGAGATCCCCAACCACAAGTACTCTCTCACTTGGTTCAAAACTCCCCACACACTCACTCAACATTTCCCAAAATCTCTCTCCTCTACACCTCTTTCTATAACCCACTTTTCACATCCAACCCTTATTTTACTCCACATAATCCTTGAATTTATACATTTATATTCCTTCTTTTCCTACCATAACTTATCATTCAACATTATTGCCACTCCTTCCTTAGCTCTAACTTTATTAGAAACCCCTGACCTAATCCCATTTATTTCTACCCAGGAAAGATTCTTATTCCACTTCCCTATGGATATGAAAGGAAAAGTAATAAGAACAAGAACTATTAAGATAAAATCAAAGAAAATTCAGATGAGTGTGTATACATAAATGTGTACATGCATATGTAGTGTGACCTAAGTGTGAGTAGAACTAGCAAGACGTACCTGAAATTTTGCATGTTTGAGACAAGGAAAAGACACAAGTAATCCTACAATCATGTAAAACAAATACAGACTTCCATTTTACACCCACTTGGCAGTCCAGTAGGGGCCCCACTTATAGTGAAGGTTAGGTTCCAGGCTACTGCCATAAAGCAGAAATTGCCATAAAGTAGAACACACTTTTTTTCCACTTATAAATGCATATAAATGCTAGTTAACAAGTTTACACTAACATATATTAAGTTAGCAGTAGAACTATGCATTAAAAACAATAAAAAGTAAAATACACATATAGTACACTCATTACTTACCTTAAAATATTTGTAGTCTTAATGCAGGGTCAAATGAGTAGTATTTATTGTATGAAATCATGTGTGGTAGGTATAGTAGACAGGCCAAGCCACTCCCACCCCAACCCAACCACAAGTAATACACTACAACATTTAAAGTGTCCCAGAGCAATAAAATGCATATACAGTTCACTCATTACTTACCTTAAAATATTTGTAGTCTTAATGTAGGGTGAAATGAGTAGTATTTATTGTAAGAAATCAGGTGTGGTTGTTATGGTAGCCAGCCAGGCCTCCACACCCCTCCCCACCTCACCCACAAGTATACACTATGACATTTAAAGCATCCCAGAGCAATAAGATGCATATATAGTTCACTCATTACTTACCTTAACCCCTAAATAGTCCAAACATATATATATGTTCTTACCACTAGTGCCCCAAACATATATTTGTTTTATTTTTCCTGCCTCCAAATTTGGCACAATTGGCCTGAGATGCCTGGTCAGCATAGAATGGGTCTTAACACTCGGTGTGCACAGTATTAATAAAATCAGGGACCACTTAGTACCTTGTGATAGCACCAGTTCAAATGAGCACCAACCAGAGCAAACAGTGCGGCAAACACCTGGGATTCGCTGATTTCATGTAGTATTAACACTCCCATTTTCAGAGGAAACTGATATTGACCCTGAGTTTAGTGACTTTGAGGTGGATGTTGCCATAAGTGGTCAAGGAAATATCAAAAACCTTGATAATATCCCATGAGTAACATTTGTGCAACACCCTTTCAGAATGTCTTATAACCTATGCCCTAAGTAAAGAGAAACAATTCTGGAAAATGTAACATGTGTTTGGCAGGCTGGCTGGCCAACTGGCTGGCTGGCTCTATCTCTGTCTGTCTGTCTGTATCTATGTCCATCTCCATCTGCCTATCTCTGTCTGTCTCTGTCTATCTCTATCTCTTTCTATTTATCTCTGTCTATCTCTGTCTCACAGGTTTTATCTGGAGTTTATCTGGAGAGAGTTCCAGGGGTCAACGCCCCCGCGGCCCGGTCTGTGACCAGGCCTCCTTAGATCAGTGTCCCAGGATGCGACCCACACCAGTCGACTAACACCCAGGTACCCATTTTACTGATGGGGAACATAGACAACAGGTGGAAACAAACACGTCC